ATAGTAGGAAGCAAACCATGGTGGTATTAGCATTACCTGTGACTTTTTCACCAGAAGAAACCACAGATTTTTCATAGCATATCAACCATTGCTGCAGACACTGCAAAGTATCATTTATACTCAGTCTGAAATTATGAGTTACTGGATCACTGCTAGATCTGTTATTTAATGTGTTAAATAATAACGAAGCACATGCTAGTATATTGCAAACTTTGAATTTTTGATAACAAAACCAGATTTCAGTATTATTGGTTTCATTTGTAAGTCTATGTATTCGAATGTATGCATTTAAAAACACTATTGTGAGGAAAGATCCCCAAGCTTCTCTAGTATGCCAAGAGTCCATTGTACAAAAAAGGTTAAGAGTCTCAACACCGGGGCGCCTGGGTGGCTCAGTCGGTTGAGCGACTGCCTTCGGCTCAGGTCATGATCCCGGAGTCCTGGGATCGAGTCCCGCATCGGGCTCCCGGCTCGGCGGGGAGCCCTGCTTCTCCCTCTGACTCTCCCCCCTCTCATGCTGTTTCTCTCTCGCTCGTTCTCTAATAAATAAATAAATAAAATCTTTAAAAAAAAAAAAAAAAGAGTCTCAACACCTAGGACGTTCTTTCCACTGTACCTCCCTGGGGGATTGCTATTCTCCCTTTAAGACCTGGATGAAACACCACCTTCACCAAGGAACCAACACCTTGACCCGCGCATCTCCCCTTTCCGTCCACACTGTCACAGGCCCTCTGTACATGTCTGGTTTCCCCACCAGACAAAGCTCCTTGAAGGCAGGGAGGTGTCATTCATTTCTGGATATTCAGCACCTAGTTCAGAGCCTACCACACAGAAGTGAAATAAAATTGTGTTGAAGGAATATAAGCAGATGAAATATGTGACAGTCTGAAAATCCAGGTCTGAATCCTGGCTAAGAGGTAGTAGCTATGTGACTCAGGAAAGTCCTCGAACTCTTCTGAGCCTCTTTCTCAGTATAAAATGTGGGTAAATCTCCCTTACTTACTGCACTCTTTTGTTAAGAGGATCAAAACAAGGTAACTGTGTGAAAGTGCTTTGTCAAGCTGCAAGGGTTATGCAGAATTTAGTTGTTATTATATCAAGTTATCTAAAAATACCAAGTTATCTAAGAACATATTTTTAAAAATTGTGCTAAGGTCAGCTCATTATTTAAAGCCTATCTCCCGTGCAATCCCTCTATCTGCCCGAATGTTTGTGTACCCCCAAATTCAGATTTGAACCCCTAATCCCAGTGTGGTGGTATCTGGAGGTGGGACTGTTGGGAGGAGCCCTCACGCTGGGATTAGTGCCCTTCTAAGAAGAGACAGGAGTGACGATTCCTCTCTCATTCTCTCTCTGCCGTGTGAGGACACAGCAAGACAGTGGCTGACTATAAACCAGGACGAGGGTCCTCACCAGAACCCAAGCGTGCTGGCACCCTGATTCGGACTTCCCACCTCCAGAACTGTGAGGAATAAATCTCTACTGTTTAAGCCACATCGTCCATGATTGTCTTGTGACGGCAGCCCCCACTAAGACCCCGCCCTGCACTGCAGGCTGTATCCAGGAGCTCATTCCCCGAAGGTACCAATCCTCTGTACTTTCAGGTCTTTAGGCCCTCGTTCTCATTATGACTTCCTATTATTTTGCCTCATGCCTTTTCCTCTTTGCTGCCTGGGTAGCTCTTATTGATTCTTCAATAATCAGTCTAGTGGCTAATAGCCTCCTCTACAAACCTTTGCCTGGCCTCTCCATCCCCCACACCTGGCACCATGTATGAGAGTTAACCTTCTGTGAGTTTCCAGAGAGCTGGGACTCTGGCCTATTCTTCCTGACCTCCTCTCATCCATCAGGAATTCATGTCTACCTGAGCATAAAATTGGACAAGCAAAAGTGATTAGAAAACATATGAAACAAATCAGTGACACCGTCCGCTTTGGATTATTTGTAAGAAGAGCCTTAGCCTTAGCCTTGTAGGTTGAAATTCTGAAAGATGACTCTGTCACAAGTCCTTTAAATATTCAATTTCACCTCATTTCAAATATAAATCCATTCATTCTAGCAAAGCAAGGTGAAACCCATCTGGCAACGTCTGTTTCAACAGTCATATTGTAAAGCAGAGCACTGTGTCATTGAGAATGTCACCACAATGAGGCTGAGACAAGAGACCCCGACCCCTCTGACTTCTTCCCATTCTCACTGTGTCCACGAGGAGAATAGGAGTAAGAATTTTAGCTCGGATGCCTTACTCAGAGCGAAAGAACAGAGGACTGAGGCCAGAGAGACCAGGGTCAAGTCCATGCACAGTGGGTTACAGGCTGACCCTTGCACGGTAGCAGGGCAGTGGTGACCTTCCAGGCCCAAACCCAACCCTCCAAGGGCATTTCTGACCCTCCTTCAGAGCTGCCTTACAGTTCCCTCAATTCTAAAGAGACAGTTCCCAAGAAAGTACACGTATATGAAAAAACCACCAAGTCAATGATATACATACAATAACGGATTTAGGCCAAAATCTGAGTTTGAGATTTACTTTAAGATCAGGCAGCAGGAGAGGTGTCTGAATGGCTCAGTCGGTTAAGCGGCTGCCTTCGGCTCAGGTCATGTTCCCAGGGTCCTGGGATCGAGTCCTGCCATAAGGCTCTCTGCTCAGCGGGGAGCCTGCTTCTGCTCCCTTCCCCTGCTCATGCTTGCTCTCTCCCTTAAATAAATAAAACCTTAAAAAAAAAAAGATCAGGCAGAAGCAAGTAAAGTTATTACCTACTTACACTATCAGTAATTGACCTCACTTCCTAACTTCACAGACACAACCAAGTATGTTAGGGAAAATTTTCACTTTCTGGCCACCTACTGTTAGATCCATTACCCCCAGGAGCCTGAAAACAAGTGGCCCAATTTGCTTTTGTAGTCCCTTGAGTTCTTTAATTCTTAAAAGTCACAAACCAGCTTGCTCAATGATGTCCCACTTAACTTATTAACTATTCCCCTATTTAAATGTCCTCTATAATCTTACCTACGGTTAGGAAGGTGCTCAAGAGCTGCTCCGTGGCAACGGGCTTGATCTCTGTCCGTAGATTAACAAATCTGCCAACCACCAAGGGGGCTCGGCGGAAACCCAGAATCCTAGTTTGGGAGGTTGAAGAACAGAAGAGAAAAATCTTTGGGGGGTGTATTTTATAAAGTAGTCTTAGAAAAGATATTGCTGATTGGTAGGTATATATATGTATATTTATACTTATACATATTTTAAAGATTTTATTTTTTTAAAGTAATCTCTACCCCCAACGTGGGGCTTGAACTCACGACCCTGAGATCAAGAGTCCCATGCTCTACTGACTGAGCCAGGCCAGCACCCCTGCAGGTAAATATATTTTAAAGGTACATATATTTGGGCGCCTGGGTGGCTCAGTCGTTAAGCGTCTGCCTTCGGCTCAGGTCATGATCCCAGGGTCCTGGGATCGAGTCCCACATCGGGCTCC